CCCCCCCCCCCAAGCTCTTCCCCTGGTCACTCGCTGTGAACCAGCCACATTGGTCTACTTTTGATTTCGTCAACACACCACATTACTTCCTGTCTGAAATTTTATTCCCCTAATACCTGCCATGACACTAGATGTTACCTCCTCAGAAAACCCTTCCCCAACATCTCCACTTCTTTCTTCTGCCCTTAGTTTGTTTGCTAGAGAAAAAGAGAGAGGGGGAGAGTGAGGCTGTGGGCAGAGGTGTGTATATCACACCAGAGCCCTTTCCCAGCCCCAGGGTTAGAGAGAGACCTGGGAACCTGTATTTCTATAAAGCTGCCCAGGTGACTCTTTTAATTAATCAGGTGTAAAAACCACTAGACTAGATGATTCTAAGAACATCAAGCCAATCTTTGCCAATTACTAGGACTTTAATTGCTGTGTGTTATTACATCTTCTCCTCCTATGAGCGGTTGAGTGGCCCGGGAGCCAGAAATGCAGGCCTTCGCAATAGACAGCAGCCTGTAGGATGGTGGGCTCAGTGTTCCCAGAGGCTCAGATGACTTGATTTGAAACACAGAGTGTGGCAGCCACCCACACAGGAGTCAATCCTCATGAACGGGACGAGGTGGCATCTGAGAGAGGGAATGGGAAAGTAAACACTTGCCTGCTTTCATCTGTTTCTCCCAGGCCCAATTCTGTTCTCCTTAGACCAGGGAAACTGAGGCAATGTACGAGATTGTCTGATTATCTTTTGAACAGACTTGCCCAGAGCATGTCGATGGTAAAAAAAAAAAAAAAAAAAAAGGACAAGAAAAACAAACTTGAGTGTCTAGATCAAAGCTGTGTGTGCATCTTGATTTCATCAGAATACCAGGGTGTGGTACTAGATAATGAGGATCCTGCCTCCCTTCCTTTCTACTGCTATGAAACTGACATAAGCTTTGGCTAGCCGGGCCAAGAGTAGCTGAAACCAAAAAACAAAATAAAAATATCACATGGCCGGCTATATATGTATGCATTTGGTGAAAGAGAATGAGCAAGGGCAATAGATCTAATCTCTAGGGTGTTATTCATTAATTCATTCAACAAATATACATTCAATACCTACTGTGTGCCTTGCACTACTCACAGCACGGGGAAGGCAGTGGTACCCAACTTTCTCTCACCCCAACACAACTGCGGCTCTCAGATACTCTCCTGTCTTTAATAATGGCTCCCCAGGAGCAGTGAGTCCCATGATTATATCAAGGAAGGTATCAGGTCTAGACTAGAGAAAGGACCATGTCAGGAAGGGTTGGGATCCTCCACACACGAGGAATAGAGATTCACTGGGATACAGAGGCAGTGACACCAGTTAAGAGCTTACACTGTGTGGTTTCAGGAAATCACTTGGACATTTTGGGCCTCAGTTTCTTCACCTGTGAAATGGGGGGATTTCAATGTCTCTTCACTCAAACTAATTTCACACAAATTTTAACAAAATAGTACTGAGGTTCAAAAGTCTGAGGTGATGTGACTAAAATGGATTGAGAGCTCAAAATCTCTTCCAGGCTTTAAATTCTCTAATTCTACATGTTTCTCACCGCACCCGGCTAGCTCAGTCGATACAGCATGAGACTCTTAATTCTACATGTTTCTCTAATGGAAGTGAGAATTCTACGGTAAAAAAGTAACTCACCTCCCAGGTGGGCTCTCCCCCTGAAAAGGTACCTAAGCACTCTTTTTGCTTAGAAGCAACTACTTCTTCAACAAATAAATTTCAAGGAAAAAAGAAAAAGAGGGGAAACCTGTCGGTTAATAGAGACTCAAGAGGAACATCACCTGAACATCCCTTAGATCCTGATTTGAAGTATAAAACACGCTGATGAGACAACCAGGAAAATGTGAACATTGACTGGCTGGATATTTGATAATATTAAGGAATGATTGCTAATTTTTCTAGGTATAATAAGGGTAATAGTACTATTACTATGGTTTTGAAAAGAATTTTTAATATTTAGGGATACAGCCTGACAGGTTTGGCTCAGCGGATAGAGCGTCAGCCTACGGACTCAAGGGTCCCAGGTTCGATTCTGGTCAAGGGCATGTACCTTGGTTGCAGGCACATCCCTAGTGGGGAGTGTGCAGGAGGCAGCTGATCAATGTTCCTCTCTCATTGATGTTTCAAACTCTCTATCACTCTCCCTTCCTCTCTGTAAAAAATCAATAAAATATATTAAAAAAATATTTAGGGATACATACTGAAATATGTACAGATGAGATAATATATGAGATTTGTTACAAAATATTTTAGTTGAAGGAATGAAAGGGATACAAATGAAATAATAATTTACTACCCTAGTTTCTCTTTTTAAAATTGATTTGAGAGAGAGAGGGGAAGAGAGAAACCTCCATCAGATTCGACTGCCTCCTGCAGGCCCCCTACTGGGGATATAGAGCCTGCAACCCGGAGGCACCTGCCCTGATGGGAATCAAACCAGCAACCTTTTGGTGCATGGGATGACGCTCAACTAACTGAGCCACACTGGCCAGGGCTACCTTAGTTTCTTTTCAAGAACTATAAACAAGCTCAATCAGTCATAAATTCAGTCATCTAAAAGCAAGATAGACATTCACATATCCTGTCCTGGGACTACATATTAACAGTTCAAATGATCACAGACCAAGCTGTGCTTTTGCCCAAAGTAGAATTACCCACAAAAATAATCACTGTAATTTTTAAATTGTGAGTAGTTTCTTCATTAAAATATCTTTTAGATCTTCTTTTCGTTCAAGAAAAGTATCATTAATAACAGTAACAGGAAAAAGGCCATGCTTCTCAAAGTTATTTTAACTAAAAAATTTATGCTTTTGGCCCTGGCAGGTGTGGCTCAGTTGGTTGGATACTGTCTCAGTTACCAAGGGGTTTGCCAGTTCAATTCCTGGTCAAGGTACATGCCCAGGTTTTGGGCTCAATCTCCGGTTAGGGGCATGCAAGAGGTAGTTGATGGATGTGTCATTCTCACATCAATGTTTCTTGCTCCCTCTCCTTTCCTTTCTCTCAAAAAATCTTAAAAAAAAATACTTTGGAAGAGAACTCAAGGCTTATCTCTTTGAATTTGCAGTTTATTAATCTCTATTAACAGATGAAATATTTAATTACTTACACGGCTATTCCAAGAAAAACTGAACCAATGGTAAGCATAAAACCAGAAGTTTAAAATCAGAAGGCCCATGAAAACACTTCAGAGAGGGATGCTTATTATTTGTTATATAAAAATTTGAAAAACACAATTATCAAGGCAGGGAGGCCCAGAATGCAGTGCTGTTTGGGTACCACTCTTTTCTCATCTAGCTCTCATCTTGAACATGCTTTACTTCCACCCGGGCAGGACGCACTGGACGGTCATCACTGTGAAGTGCAAGTGTTTTTGCCAGGAATGGTCACCATGGATATGCAGTAGTGCTTGAGGAACTTATGGCTACCATTTAGGATATTATAAACACATACAATCATCAAATTGAAAAACAAAAGGCAGCTTTTGAGAAAGAATCTGGCTCTATAACATATACAGGGAGATTAGGCCAACCCTTGGTTAATGAATGGACTCAGCAGAACTCTAATGAACTAATTTCATTAATTAACCATGGATTTTACTGCCAATGCTACCAGAACACTTTCTATCACTTTGGTGATGGTACCACTCTTGATATATATTTGAGTACAAACAGATCCACCTCAATCTTGAAAAAAATTTCACACTAAAAATAGTTTACACATAAAGAAGCTGGAACCATAGATGTTTTAAAGCTCAAAGTCACATTCTCTGATGGACAATAACTTAGTGCATTATAAGTCAACTCTAAAGGAAACAAA